CTAACCTTCTTTTGCGACAGCCTGCTTTTTACATGCATCTTATTCTATAATATTTCTAAACTTTTGGGCACGTTAGTGTGTGTCTGTGTCAGAGTAGGAGATAGTGTTGTTTGCATGTGGAGACGCTTAGCAACATTTATGCCAGCATACGGGACCGTGGGTGTGGGACAGGGAGGGAGCGGGCACCAGGAGCAGACTGGTCCTGGTGGGAGGTAAAAATGTGTGTGTGTGGGGTTGTGACTTCTGTCTGATTTGGCAGATTACTCAGATTTTCTAAACTACTAGTCAAACAAATCATTATTGAACATGTTAAATCTCAAATCTGGTCAGCTGCAGTATGCTGATATTATTCAGAAGAGGGGAAATGTTGTACGCCCACTGCTGTGCTCTGATTGCCTGCAGGATACTTGTGTCAGCATGGATATACCAGCCAGCATGGATGCTAAAGCAAGTGTAGAAGTGCCTCAAGGCTGAAATACATTATGCTTTCTTATAAATGAAGATTTTATTCTTGTGTGTGTATCATATTTAGCCAACACATTTTTCTGCCTGCAATCCTTTGAGCAGTTTGCTGTTCTTTAAATATTCTGACCTATTATTGCTCAACACACCACCTCCCCATCACCACCGTGATCTCCAGGATGTCCAGGAAGATTCAACTGAAAGTTTCCATCAACCATCAGCTGCTGGTTTTACTCTACCTCCAACACTGTAAACTCTGGGGGATGCTGTCCCTACTACCTTTACATGGGCTTAATGATAATGCTTCATACTGTTGCCAACCTCAATATACTATATTATTCACTTCAAATTAATCTCTCCGTCTTTAACTGATGTTCAGTTTTATAGATCTTGTTTTGTTTTATTCCTCATAGTTTGTTTATTTTTTATTGTATTTTCTTTTGCTTGACTGATGGGTATCTCAGTTGCACATTTGCTGCAATGCTTATGCTTGTATCGTTTCACTTCGATTATGTGCCACAACTAAAAACTGTTTAAAATCACATATCATAAAGAAAGAAGAAATTCTTTGGTCCCATCATCTCCACAGAGTGATTATGCTGCACTTATTATGCACATTAATCACTGTATAGTTATTAGTCAGACAAGCATATTTTCTTTTTTTCTACTGCCTTATTTAATTTCTCCCCTCATCTTCATCGTGTTGATTGTTGTTCCTTCATTTCCTCTTCTTCTAATGACTTTCCCTCTCTTCTCGATCTTTCATCTCTCACCTAATTTTCTCTTTTCCCATTACATATTGCACCTCCCTCCTCTCCCCGACTCTGTCTCCCTGCGATAGAGCCTTTAGATCTCATTAACACCTCAACTCAGACATGTCACATTCTCACCCTCTGCCATGGGTGGTGGAGGAGGTGACGCACAACATGCAGGCCTTTTGTCACCCTGCGGAGACACACTGCAGGTCGCCAGTCTCCAACCAAAACCAATTCAATCATTGCTGTAAGAGGACAGCTTTTTTTAAACTCGATGCATTTGCATTTATTTTACATCTGTGTGATACAGTTCAAGGGCTCTTTTACTAAACAAAACTTAAAAATGTTTTAGCATTGACTGGGACTGATGGATGGACTATTCATTTAATTTCACCTCATGAAATCGTCTATATGAGACATCTTTTTTGATGAAGCGAGCTGTCGACCTTCAAGTCGCTGTAGCAACTGCACACACATCCCCCCCACACACACGCACAGTTTAATAACTCGACACAAACCATACAGATGCTTGTTATTACTCATCTTGCTTGAGTCGATTTGAAAAGAGGGTAAAGGGGGGATGAGGGGGAGAACATGGACTTGAGTAATAATGTACAAGTGGTGAGGTTTATTAGTGCAACTGCCAGAGGAGGGTGCTGTTTACATAGGAGGTACAACAGTTAGGGGGTCACTCGGCCACATACATGCACCACACTGACACAGACATAGATATGTGTATTTATATGGAGACAGTATCAGCTTTTGCTTTGGGAAATGTCAGCTCTCAGTGGCAGTGAAAGTTTTAAAGCTTATTCTCCATGATGATAGATTTTAGACTTGGTGTGTGACATCTGCATGTATCTCTGTGTCAAGTCTTTTCCACTCTCTGTCAGCATGAACTCTGGTGAGTCTTTGAAAAAATGTCTAATCCTGCAGTGGTCTGCCATTGTTTCAGCACTTCTCATAATATTTGATACAGAGTTGATAAGTAAGTAACCCAAAGCCTTTCAGTCAGCTTGTCACAAGACTATTCTTGCACTTTCTGACATCTGAAAAAGGAAAGGAATTCTTTGTTTAAGGCATACAAGCATGCAGCACCAATGAAACAAGCATGATGTATTATGTGATATTATGTGAGGTGTCTATTTTCCTTTAATTAGCTTAAATGTTGGTACTTATTCTACACTGTCTGGTGGTACTTATTTCACACTGACACTCAGTTTGTTCCAGCTGTTTATTGAGGCCATGATGTATAAGCAAAGGCAAAGCAAAGCAAGTGCAAGTATTTAAGTTCAAGTTTAATTGTATTGTTAATTAAACGAGCTGAGATTGTTCTTGTTTCTTTAGGATGAAGGCACAAAGAACACACACCAATTCACTCAATGCAAATTAACACTGAGTGAAATATTCAAACCCAAGACTATATTTTTCCATGTCTTGTGAATCATCTTATACACATTTCCCCAAGATTCACCCAGACATATGTGGTGTCTTTGAAAAGTCTGGGATATCCTCTAAATATAAATATATTCCCTGTGAAAATATGAATATGTGGGCTCAGTTTTTTCATTTGACAGGCTGAGCAGTATGCTGGATCTGGAGAGGCTCTGCCAGGTCTCGGCTTGGAGACACAACAAAAAAAGACAAAAAATTAAAAACAAACAAAAAATTAAAAACTGAAGAAAAAAAATTAAATTGTTGAAAATGTGAAAAAATTTGTTGTAGAGTAATAAAATAAAGAAACATTTAGATTCAGATTCTTGTTACCTTATTGTCATTGCACGGAAATTGAATGCAATCCTGACGGCGCATTAAATCCACAATATAATAAAACAACATGAACAGAATTAGAGTTTTAAACTAAGAAAAGAAACTATATAAATAAATATGAAAATGTGATATTTTTGCATGTTATTTAATGTGACTAAATAGGAGCATTAATTTATACAACTAAATCAGTCACACTACACCATTACCTCTAGTTAAGTAAGGCAGTTCAACAATATCAACACATCAATGCTCAATTCTACAAACCACACACTAGGAGAGAAATATTTTAAAATCTGAAAGCTCACACTATAATGATGCCCCGTCTGTGTAGTAGAGACCCTCGACCAGTGCCCAACACCCCCCACACACCCTCACTGGCATCTAAATAGGCACACACACTGTATGACCCACCATGCTGGCAGGAGAAGGCTGATTATATTACACACTGTTATTAATAGCCACCCTCTCCCCTTTCTCATTGTAACTAATAGCTGAAATGATCTCAGACTGTCTCTGAGTCGCTTTGCTTACATCTCTCTTACCCTCTCATTCCATGTTTCCACCTCTTTTCTCCACTGAGATCAGGTCTTCCAAAACACACTCCACATGCACGCCTGACATGTGCAGAAATTTGACTTACTGTTGTTCCACATGACAGTCACCATCTACGAAAAACACACCTCTTTCTTCAACCAAACACAGCAAACTGGCATGAATGTTGTCAAGTTATTTATGACAGACCAGAAATTACTGTGTCCAAACAACAATAATCTTATGACAGTATTGCTCATGACAATCTGTTTTTGTAATGAGACAGTAGTTTTCTGATGCGTGATTTAGGTTAAAAAATGTTTGTGATTGACAGTTGTGTCAGGTTGATACACTGTGTATTTTTAAGCTAATAGCAGTCAATTAGAGTACAGTAAACATGAGGTAACGTTGTCATTTTAACAACAGAAAATGGCAAATATTTCCAGTATTCTTTCAAATCCTGATATCAATTTGTATGAAGGCATATTAGGGCCCCTGCAGGTAAAACAAAATGGGATTATATTCGGAATTGAAGGCTTTATTCCATGTTTTTTTCTCCCATTCATATGTTGAGAAGTAAACCATCTCCATGAAAACTGAGTAAACTGTATGGGTTTCTATAAAGAATGTTTTTACAAGTGGGTCCCCATTTTGTTTGTACCGTGCTTTTGTTTGTTTTCAGTTAACTCCAAACGGCACCTTTAACCTTCAAGCTCATCAATGATTTTATTATATAGATACACCGACTGGTATAGCAAAGTGTTTTTTTGGAGTGTGTGGATAATAATACAAAAAGTAGACATATGGTAAAGTAATTTCTTTTTTAACTTCATTCAAATATGCACCACAATACTCAATTGTCTTTGATTATGGCTTGTAAAAAAGTGAAAAGTTTGTAGTGAAAGTCATTTTTCATTGAACTGTGACTTTACCAAGACAAACATGATGCTTGTATTTTCTTTAGATGTTCAAACAAGTGAGTGCAAGACTTTTCATTTCTCTCTGTCCATACGTGCCTGCAGAGCACATCGACACTCTGCGTGGATGCCATGTTGTTCACAGTGTTGTTCCACAGAGGCCTTATTTTTAGCAAGAGTCCGACTCCTCTGCAAAACTTAATATGGAAATGGCATCTTGGAGCTCTTCTTTCCTCAAGCTCTCATCGTACATCCACCCATACCTTATGTCCTCCAAGACACTGAGCTGGTATCTGTAGCTCTCTAAACACCCAACACAACCGCTGTCCCTTTTCATAGCCACAGCTTCAGACAGGTGGTCGTATGTCCTAAGCATGGCCCCTCCCATGTTACCCCCACTACTTTTTTGGCAACCCCTCTGGCTTGTGCATGGCTCTTGGACAAGTGGGATCAGCGTCTGGCCTACTCACATAGTGATTTGCGTCCCCAAAAGGGCCCCACCCCCTTGCCTTGGCCAGTGGCGTCAGCAAAACCACGTGTATCTCTTTTTTAAAGGGAGGGTTTCACTCTCAGACCCGCTCTTCTCTAGCCGGTGGGGAAAGGAAGCTGACTTTGTTCCTAACTCTCCCTGCTTGACACCAACTTGCATTGGGGACAAACCTCTCAAGTGTATTTTCCCCCCTTCAACCATACATCAACAATTAAGTTTCTGAGAAGAGGTGTTCTTGCGACCACCAGGTGACAATAGCCATGAAGTGGGGCTGGGTGTTTTTGGCGGTCTTCCTATCCTTGGGGACCCTGTCCTGGGGAGAGAAAGGCCTGGAAGTCCCCGAGTATGATGGCAGAGACCGCGTCCATGAACTCAACGCCAAGAACTACAAGTCTGTCATGAAGAAGTACGATGTGATGGTGATCTACTACCACAAAAATGTGGATGGGAACCGCAGTGCCATGAAGCAGTTTCAGATAGAGGAGCTGGCTTTGGAGGTGGGTCTCCGCCAAAGCATGACAGTGGATGGATATGTGGCCCATGTGGGGGAAGGGTCACAGTGTGAAGAGGGAAGGGAAGGGTTTCACATGGGGCATTTGGCTACAGTTGGGGATTCCGAGATACAGTCTTTGCTTTCACACTTAGGGTTTCAGATGAGTGGGATGGCGGCTGTTGACAGGTGAGGAGGAAGGCAAACAGAACAAATGGAAATCATGGGGTGAGATCAAATTGAGGGATCATGGACCCTTCAAATATGGCATCCTGCCCAATGTGACTAGAAAGATACTGACCTGAAGGAGGCAGGTTGGTGAATGTGGGGACAGGAGGAACAGGATGTACTGATAGGAAACTATACACAAGAAAGTTGTATATGGCAATTCATGGAAGAACACATATTGTTCCTGCTGCCTGATTATCAATCAAGTTGTGATTGGGTCAGCTTGTCTTGACCCAATGGATCTAAAGAATACAACAGCATCTGAAAAAAAGAAAAATGAAGGGATTTTTAGTAGAATTAATAATAATTGGACCATGCTTGCTCCTCCAACACCTTTACCATGTCATGCCAGGATTGGGGCGACAATTTTTGCAACTCTGAAACAGACAATGAACGCATTTGTGGAGATAGTGTCTGAAATAACGTCTCGCCTGTCTTTAGGATGGTAATCTTTTCATCCTTTTCACAATCCTACATTTGTCACATCATATCTTGTTAACAACAAAATAACATAATATTCTGTCATGTGGACATAACAGAATATTTTCAAATGGTCCATTGATGTGCTGTGACACTGGGGCAAGCAAACAAGTCTTTTGTCCTTAAACAGCTATTGCTGGGGTGCCTTTGAGCCAGGCACTTACACTTCAATCGCCCCAGTGGTGCTGCTAATCAGTTGGCCGTAGAAAAAGAGTACCGTAGAACTTTGATTAATATCTCGGGCTTTTATTTGCTAAAATCACTGAATTGACCATGCCTATATTTTGGACAGGCGTCCATATGCGACAGGCCTTTATTTCCTCTTGCACAAAGCTGAAATAGGCTACTATGAAACAGTTTATTTATTTCAAGCAGTACAAATATTACTTGTATAAAAATGATAAAATAATATCAAATACACATCATTCATTTGATCTAGCTCCGACAGATATTGTAGGCAGCAACTTAACAAAAACAAACACACCTGACGACACAGTGCAGGAGGAGAAAAGTGTTGCAGAAGTTAGAAGACAGAGAGCGATGGACTTCACATGACAGGATTCATAAGTTGGATGAATTTTTATGAAAAGCTGTTTTGATTCTTTTGATCGGTGGACCCTTCCAGACTAAAGGAACTTAATAGGCTAATCAAAGAACTTCCATAAAAACCAGACCAGGTGTTTAATGGAGACTGCGTTTATTTGTCAAAATGTGTTCCCACACACCAGGCCAGTAAATGGGGTAGGCATACAGTATGCATGTTCTGGGAATTCTTACCGGATAAATAAATCTAGAAGACCTTTTGCCAGCCCGGCTCACAGCTGATGCACCTGGGCTCCACTGTCAGGCAGTGTATTCACCTCACCAAGCCCCTGCATGTCAGAGCAGCAGTGTCTTCTTACAGAGACACAGTGTACCTTACACTAGCCTCCATAAGTCACCTCTGTAAATAGCCCAGGAGAGCCCTGCATGCTTAGCAAGAGGCTAAACAGATATAGACAGAGAGTTTAGGGCCATATCTCACCTCAGCTACTGCTCGTTCAGCTCTCTCAGGCAACACTGTTTTGTTTTGTATTACTACACACCCCTCTGGGTGTAGGTTGAAGTCCTAAACCATCATTTACACACGTAAGTCATTGGATCTGATCAATTTCCTATCGGTGCTGCCAAGTTGTTCTTCTTGGCTTTAGAAAGCGATGCCTACTGGAGCAGGTCCCTGCTGGACTGTTACTCTGTTACTGACTTCCTGCCAGTTGTAACCATTCAGCCAATTGGGAAAGAGCACAAGAGGTGTTCAGAGGGGATGCTTAAAATAGCTGGCCATTACCACCTATGAATCAGGAAGTATGAATTATTAAAGTGCAGAGCTTCGGGAAACAAAGCTTAACTGCCCTTGATTAATGTTTGGACCATAGAATGTGTCATTTATCTATGCTTCTAGTGGAGACACCATACTGTACATTTAAGTTATTTATAAAAACACAATGTCAGAACGTTTATTAAATTTATTTGGCCGTATCTTAATTTGAGCAAAATCAGTTTTAGTTTTCAGTCGACTATACTAAATTTATATTTTGCTATGACATGCTTGAGGTGACAATTTTAAGATTTTCACCCATAGTGGTTTCTTTGTATTTTTACTTCACTTCACATAGGAAAATAAATGGTCTTTCTTCATTTTCAAACCACAGCTTCCTCTTTGATACACTGCATATGAATAGAAACAAAATTAGTTAAATTTAGCAAATTAGTCTAGAGAAAAATCCTGTAGGCGTTACCACAAATAGAACATGAGATAGAGATATAATAGAGAAGTGTTTGATTTATGTGTACAGCCTGAAAATAGGTATTATAAAGTATCACAGGATCATTACATGTATTATATCCTGTAAAATACTCACACATGACCAAGCATAATATATTTAGTAGTACAGCTCCAATTTGTATTGGCGGCCTGTCCAGGGTGTACCCCGCCTTTCGCCCGACGGCAGCTGGGATGGGCTCCAGCCCCCTGTGACCCTGTACGCAGGATAAGCGGTTGACGATGGATGGATAGAAAACTTCTTAAATCTATTATATATTCAAAACTATACTGCTGTCAATTTAGTTTTATTTGTTTCTGAGAAGTTGACCTTATGGTGATATGATGATAGCAGCAACATGCTAGGTTATGTTGGCATTGTGTAAATTCTGGTACTGTCTCCAGCGTGCTGCAAAGCTGCACAAAAGCTTATGTTAACATGTAACCACGTCATGACAGTGAGCTTATGTTAAAAGTAACACTGTTCATCCCCTGAAAATTAGGTGGGTATCCTTTAGCGTTGTTTTGGACTTGCAGTCGTTTAGGTTAAAATAAGTTACAAAGATGTAAGTTACATAAGTTAACTTAGTTATGTTATGCAAGATATGTAGCTCAAGTTAAAAAGAAGTCAACACTGACTGTTGGATTCACAAGGTCTCCTGGGTGTAAGTCCAGTGTTTGACCAATCCAACCACCCCGCCCAACCCCACCCCCTTTCCTGCCTGGAAAAAGTGATGTCAAGGGATCTTGACCAAGTGTCCATATGTGACGGCTTGGAAGTGAGGCCGGGTTGACATGACCACATTAGTGACACATCAGCGAAATAGTCACCCTGTCAGCCCTAAAATATATCCAACATCTCACCTTTGACTCTGGCTGGAGTTATATTTCTGTGAAAAAGAATCCAGTGTATCCTCACTGCTGTAATATTTTAACTCCCCTGTGGTGACCGTGAGTTGTGACTGGGCAATACGTTAACGTTAAAATGGTGTTGCTTGTTTGTAATAGTCAATGAAAGAGGTACATGTAGTGTCACAAAACCTGCAATTGCTGAAGGTGAATGGTGACACTGGTTTGCATGCAGGCCAGAACAGATAATAGTTCAGGTATTTTGGCTTTGTATGGGAATGTCTTGTACAAAAATATGGATAGGTGAAGAGCTTCTCTGGAAGAATGAATAAAAACATTTCAGTCAGAAACACAAAGTGAATGAATAAATAAATCTTAGTTAAATCTACAAAACAAAAAATTCAGCACACAAGGAGGTGGTTTGAATGATCGAGGGAGCAAACAGCGAATGTGTCAGAAGAGTAAAGATAGTGGTAGGTTATAATGGCCAATCTGAACATCTGAATAAATAGGATTGGATGTTACTAGTCAGCTGACAGCCACACAGCTGGTGATTGTGAAGCTGGTGAACACTATGCTTCATTTCATGAGACAAACTTGAATTGGGGGAGCAAACACATAAAGGTTGTTATCATTATTATTTTCTTCATTTACAACTTAACCTCTAGGGCTGCTAATGAAATCCCCCCAAATTTTTTTAAAACAGTGAGAAATGCCTAATTGTTTTTTAGAATAGTTGCTGATTAATGTTCTGTCAGTAAATCGACTGATTGTTGCAGCTCTAAACCATATTACATCCCTTTTACTACCAAGTAATTTCCATGATGTCATCAAACCTGTGTTGTTATTTTTTTTGGCTTCACCAACTTAAGTGTATTTTCATTCAAAAACATAATTTCTCCCTCCAGAGCAACTGTGTAATCAGGAAAGTTGCTACAGTAATCCAGTATGTGTGCTTGAACTTTACCTGAAAAATAAGGCTTTTTTTCCCTTCAACATTTGTTGATATGGAGGTGGCATAGTGATAATTTCATGTATAGCAACAGGGTTTAATACAGCTCTCACCATGCAATTCCATTTATTATCCAGGAGAGTAATAACAGGTGTCTCACATTCAATCAGCGCAAAGTGACAATCTGTTTAATGAACTGGAAGCACATTCAGGAGGCATGAAATAGATTTGACAGTCCTGATGCGTTGGTCTTGAAATAAGTCCACCTCACCTGCAGCACTTTAGCCAAAAATATCTCTCATTATTATGACTCACACCAAATATTATGAAGCAGAAGTCGTCCGAAGATATGACTAAAGACTAACAGGCAGGGTCCAAAATTAGCAACCATACACCAAAGGCTGTGACGGAATGAATAAGGGGTACATGTTGCACTAGTTAAATGGATTAAAATCATTAAATTTGAAATATGAAAAGTGTATATCCACATCTAATTTTAGAATACATTATACACACCCCTGCGATGGATTGGCGACCTGTCTAGGGTGTACCCTGCCTTTCGCCCGATGTCAGCTGGGATTAGCTCCAGCCCCCCCCCCGACCCTGTACGTAGGATAAGCGGTTGACGATGGACGGATTACACACACCTGGATGGCCGAGTGGTTAATTAAGGTGTTGGATTTAATATGTCCTTGTG